GGGAAGCGCCGGGGTCCTGCTCCCGCCTCGATTGTGCTGAGAGAGGCAGCCTGGAGCCTAAGGAGCGGAAACGCGTTTGGAAAACAAGGCCAGGGCCTCTGGGCGCTCCAAGGCTGCCTCGCGGAGCGCGTGCTGAGTGGGCAGCATGGAGCTGCTCGGGACACCGGCCACAGCACGCCTGGAAGTCACTGGGATGCTCCGCAGGGACAGAGAGCTCTGCAGTTTGCCATGTACCTCCGTGTGCACGTAGGCAGCCTCCGCATCCCGCTGCAGCGAGCCCTCAATGTCAGCGAGGCTGTTGGTGAGGAGGCTGGAGCAGTTCTCCTTGTCCCGGCGGTGGGGCTCCCGCAGATGCTGCTCCACGTCTGCTCCCGCGCTGTGACTACGCTCCGTGGTGTTCCTGGACATGCCCTAGAAAAGCAAAGGAAAGGAAGCTTTAGCGCAGCTTCCCCCGTGCGGCTAGGCCTGGGGATGCTCCGCAGCACCCGGAGCAGAGCCTGTCTCCCCCATCCCCTGGGAGCAGGGAGCTCCGCGCTCGCACCCTGCCCCTCCACAGAGCTGGGCATCCACACTGGCCAGGAAGGTGCCCCGAAGCCACCGTCCTGGTGCATGGGTCCCCTCTGCCACAGGCCCTTACGGAGCCAGGGGCCCCTTCCTCGGGTCAGACGGCATATGCGGGGCGGCAGGGAGCCCTGCGTTCCCAGAGCAGCGCGACACACGGGGCTGCGTCACGCAAAAACACGCTCGACGTCTTGAGGAAACATCAAAGCTGCCGGCTGAGAGCAATGGGGAACGTGCAGACAGACTGTCTTCCCCAAGACACTCTTGTCCCCACTGCTACAGCTTAGGCCCCCATTCATCTCTCCTAGGAACTGCCAGGAACCTGGGAGGCTGAGGAGCTTTATGCCAGCAGACTTCCCCGTGCCTTTGTCCTAGAGAAGGGGCCTCAAGTCTCCTAAAACTGCCCTTAAGCCTTGCTTAACAGCTCATAAAAGGAAGAGGACACAACAAGCCAAAACATCTCAAATCTCAGCCTTGCTTCCTTTGCCAGTGGGGTAATGTAGCCTTATCCAAGCATCTCAGTGAGTTCAGCTCCTCTCCCATGAAATGAAGGCCAACCAATCCCATTTATTAATCCCAGTTCTCCAGCAGGGACCTGTGCTGGCTGGCAGCGGCGGGGTCAGCTCTGCTTGCCTGATCCCAGAGGCAAGTTCTTGAGGCCATCAGCACACTCGGCTGGTTTGCAGAAAGAGAAGCCCAAGACTTTCTAGCCTCCTGCGAGTTCCAGCAGCACTCACAGGGCTGTGCCAGCCCCGGCCAGGCGTGCCGGCCTCGTGCGCTCACCCAGCAAAACCCAGCGTCAGAGCCCGCACTGCCTGCGTTTGCATGGTGGCACCCGAGCCTGCACGCGCCATGTTCAGGGACTGCTCCTCTCCACCACCCACGAGGAGGAGGAGAAGCTGGAGAGAGAGGAGAGCCGGTGTCCCAGGCCAGGGAGAGCTGTGGCTCGCTGCACCTCGCTGGGCAGGAACATTCCTGCGCCCTTCCCGATCCCGCAGCTATGGGTGTACCTTGCGTCCAAGGCCTGCTGTGGTCTCTGGCCATAACTTCTGGATCTTTCCTCCCTCAGACAGCAGCTGCTTTGAATAGATGGCACATCAATCAAAGCATTTTTGCACAGAAACTGGAGGCAGTTCTTCCTGATCCTTCATTTTGAAACCGTGCTGCCATTAATTCCTCCCCAAATCCTCCACGACCTTCATGTGTGACCTCAAATTGCCAGCTGAAGCGACAGCTGCACGCTCAGCTCCAGCCTAGAGAAGCACGTGGCTCTGGCTCGGCCTGGTTGCCTTGCTGGAGATCACCATAGCTCTCTCCCTTCACTGACATCCTTTCTGCAAAATTCCTTATTACACCGGGAACAACCCACTACCCTCTCCTTTCTGCAGAAAGGCCATCCAAAACTCATTTAAGACTCTACCCACCACAACACTGTCCTGGGAGAGCCACGGCAGCAGAAGCAGCTTCAACATGCTCTCCTCAGCAGCGTGGCCTCCTGTCCCTGCCACTAGCATGCAGCACTTGCCCTGGGACAGTTTTGTCCCCAGAGTGGTGGCCTGCAGTGCAGCACGGGGAGCAGCTGCTGCAGACACCTGCTCTGCAGCAGCGCCAGCCTCAGCTGTCCCTTGCACCAGGCCCCAAACCAGCTCACCAGCAGCACAGCGGCAGCTCCCACTAAGACAGGCCACTCCTGTCCCCTCTTCCCTTCCATCTGGAGCGTTGCAAAGCCACCGTGATGTCCCCTGACAGACACATGCCATCGGTTCTGTTCCTTGCTGAACCCTCCTGCAGAACAGGCTGGTAGGCAGGACCATTACAGCACCCAAGAAGGGCGCCACGATCCCTGCACGCAGAAGATGCGTGTGTGAGCAACTGTCATTTGTCACTGTACAAACTCCTAGGACTTACCTTTGTGCCAGCTTATCTTAGCTTAACCTCTGACTTGGCCATTGGGAGGTCTGGGAGGAACTTACACTCTGACTAGTTGAGTGGCTCTAGTCTGACCTGTTTGGACATGATGGCACCGCCATTCAGGTCCCTCGATCATCCAATTCTCTGCAGCAAGTCCTATCCCAAATTATCCAACTTTCAGCAGCAAGCCCAAGTAATCTAGCTGCAGAATAAGTCAAAGCACAAGAGGAGAGTGGGATCAGAAATTCTGGGAGGAACTTACACTCTGACTAGTTGAGTGGCTCTAGTCTGACCTGTTTGGACATGATGGCACCGCCATTCAGGTCCCTCGATCATCCAATTCTCTGCAGCAAGTCCTATCCCAAATTATCCAACTTTCAGCAGCAAGCCCAAGTAATCTAGCTGCAGAATAAGTCAAAGCACAAGAAGAGAGTGGGATCACAAACAAAAACGCTGCTGCTTTATTATTTTTAGACACCAAAACCCCTTTTGGGGGAATCGCCATCCTTGGAAAGCCGGGACCCTCGCGCCAGGTGCGTGGCTTTCGGCTGTCTCTTTCCTGACCCCAGGGATGGAGCGTGCCGTGCCTTCCTGAAACACTCCACAAGTGGAATTTTGGCTTTATAAATCATTGCTCCTTAGCCCCTGGCTGCAGCCGAACGGGACTGCTC